TTTGTAACTAGTAATTTAAAGGTCTAAAAAGTAAGTTTAATAAACTCAAGTACAATATAAATGCACCAAAATAATACTTAAGCATAGTAACAAGCATAGTAACATAGTTACTTAAGTATTTTCCATCCCTGTTGCTCACTGGGAAATTATGACCCACACAACAATAACATTTCTAAATTGACTTCAGATTCTGTGACTTTATATTCATTGGCGTGTTGTGTTCGTTTAACTTGTTGACGGTGATAGGGTGCGACTGAGATCTGTGCTCATTGAGGGCCCCCTAGTGGCCAGGGTCCATGCAAACGTTCTTTTCAGCCTGACTCCAGACAGATTTTGCGGCTGCATTCTCCTCACTTTCCTACAGCTGGCCCAGAGAGTGGAGGTTGTTAGGGCAGTGAGGATGATTGATACAGTGTAGGTTACTGAAGGTCTCCTTTTTTAAGAGCTCAAGGCCACTGCTGCTGCAGCGTTATGCTGTTACCTAATGTCCTGTGAAAAGCACCAATCCCTCTCTCTCCATCCCTTTCTCTGCACCCTCTCTCTCTCACCCCTCTCTGCTCATCCCTTTTTCTCCACCCCCACAACAATTTCTCAATTCCTCTCTCTCTACCCTTGCTCTCTACCCTCCTGACCATCCTTTTCTGTCCATCCCTCTCTCTATCCCCTCTCTCCATCCCTCCTTCTCCACCCCTTTCTCTATCCCTCTATCTCTACCCCTCCCGCCACCCCTCTTTCTCCATCCCTCTCTCTCTCTACCCCCCTCTCTGTCCATTCCCTTTCTTTCCATCCCTCCACTACTCTCTCTATCTACCCCTCTCTTGCTACCCCTTACTGTCCTTCCCTTTCTCTCCTTTCCTCTCTACCCCCACCCCTCTACCTCCCTCTCCATCCCTCCCTCACCTCCTGGTCATAAATGTGTTGTGGTGATTTATGGCATTTAATACTATAAACACATTAGAGTTAAAGTTGAACTGCTCAATACTGAATTACATCACATCTCAGCATTTGGTACATTATATTGCATTTAAACAGATGTAAATTGCATTGTATTGACTCCTTGGTTGCTTTAAATGTATCTTTAACATTTCATATTGTTTCAGACAGTAATACAGCAGTGCAGTGATGCTTCCACTGTTTTTCTTAGAGGATGTCGCCATCTCTTGGTGTTTCTGTAGCATTGTAATACAATAAATACAAGTCAGCTATGTGTACACCTACAATAACATTTTGTCAATTTTTGGAGCCACAGAGGGTTTTTTTAAAGTGTGCCCCTGGGTCTGCAAGACGTGGATGCATCTCTACATTTACATTTATATAATTTGGCAGATATCCTTATCCAGATCGGCTTACAGATGCTCAAATGCACATGCTCATACTGGTACAAATAGGTAAGGGTCTATGAAGTTAAAAACCTGCTGACCCTGCTGACAAGGTGTTTTTTTTTTAATTAGTGCCCATATAAATGCATGTTGAAGAGATAGGTCTTCATTCTTCCTTTGAAGAAGACCAGTCTTGATGCATGCCTTCCTTGTATCTTGAGGGATCCTGGATAGGTTGAGTTGTGCTAGAGACTTGAAGGGAACTGGGAGCAGAGCAGGGTTTTATAAGTGCCTTCAGGTAGGTGGGTGCTGGTCTGCTTTTGGCTTTGTATGTAAGTATCAGTGTTTAAAATCGGGAAGATAGTGGAGGGAACACAGCAATGTGGTGACGTGGGAGACTGAAAACAAGGCATGTAGCTGCGTTCTGGTTCAGTTGCAGGGGTCAGATGGGATGCAGGGGAAGACCTGCCAGGAGATAGTTGCAGTAGACCAATTTCTCAATATAAGGGTCCTTGTGCTGACAATCACTGAAGACTGGGTAAAACAGACAGCTGTTGGGATTCCATTGAGCAAGGCTTAATGGCATTAAGGCCTGTGCTGACCAGCTCTCTCGTGTTTGTGCATGGTGCCCTGTGACGGATTGGCGTCCCATGCAGGGTGTATTCCCGCCTCATGCCCGGTGGTTCCAGGATAAGCTTGGGATCCATCATGACCCTGACCAGGATTAAGGGATTACTAAAAATGAGTGAGTGAGGACATTACCAAAAACTCCTGGATCACTGACTACCAGATCCTTGTTTGGTCATATGAAACAGTCAGACCAGCTGTTGAGCAGCACAGGGACTCCACAGGAGAAGGTGCATCAGTGATGGGCAGGAGACAGAGTATAGAGCTGTGATCAACAGCTTCACTGAATGTTGTGTGTGAGGAACAACTTACAGCTCAATGAGGCCAGCTCAAAGGCTTAGCAATGGACTTTAGAAAAGCCAAGTCCCCACTGGCAATGCTGGACATTGGGACCAACATGGACTCCCTGGTATTAGAGATTCAGGAGGGGATTATGGCTAAACTGTTGCAGATCATGAACAATGTCTCCCACCCTCTCAATGACTGTCAAGCAACAGAGGACTTTTAGCTCCAGATGGATCTAGCCCTGAGTATGTCCATGGCCTGCATATAGGCAGGACATAAAAAGCAACTATGAATTAATGAAACACAGCTGATGGATAAGTTTTTTTCTTTCAGATTGTAGTAAAATGTTAGTAGGCCAATATGTTTATAACTCCCTAAACAGTGGTCTGAATAGTGACTCATACAGGACAATTAGACATTTTATATGAAATATTATGACACTTTTAACAGTGAAGAAGACTTTGAGCCAGGATAAGGCCAATCCAAATAATTTTAGGAAGTCCTATTCTTTCAAATGTTTTCACCATATTTCCAAAAGAAAGATACGTATTAGAAAGCCATTTTTACCACATATACACTCTATGACCAAAGTATGTGGACTGACCATCGCACTTATATGTGGGCCTTTCCCAAACTGTTGCCACAAAGTTGTAAGCACACAGTTGCATAGAATGTCTTTGTATGCTGTAGCATTACAATTTCCCTTCACTGGAACTAAAGAGTCCAAAGCTGTTTCATCATGAAAATGCCCCACACAAAGTGAGGTCAATAAAGACATGGTTTGCCAAGGTTGATGTGGCCTGAGGCCTCCTTACCTTAACCTCACTGAACACCTTTGGAATGAATTGGAACGCCAACTGCGCACCAGCCACCAGTCCCTGACCTCACTAATACTCATGTAGCTGAATAAGCAAAAATCCCCACAGCCATGCTCCATAATCTAGTGGGAAGTCTTCCCAGAAGAGTGGAGGCTGTTATAACAGCAAAAATGGACCAACTCCATGTTAATGCCCATGGTTCTGGAATGGGCACATATGGGTGTGATAGTCAGGTGTCCACATACTTTTGCCCCGCCATATAGTATACATGGGCACTACAGTGAAATTCTTTTCATCACACATCCCAGCTTGTTAGGAAGCTGGGATACATGCATGGCAATAGCTTGGTGGTACTGAGGCTTGAACACACAACCTTCTGAGTTGTAAGCTACACCCTCAACCACGGAGCCACCATTGCCCCCACAAGATTTACCCTAGAGGGTATCACCACAGCGACAAGGAAAGGTACAGTTTAGTACTTTTTCTCTGATGGTGTTTCTTGTGTCGCTCTTGATTGCATTTCTTACTATCATAGCCGTTTACTCTGCATTTCCCTCAACATGGCAACTCTTAGCCCCAAACCTGAAAGCACGAGCGTAACGTTTAAATGGACCAATGAGCGCGCGTGCACGCCACGTCATCGGAACCTTCTGGATTTGAACCAATCATTCATATAATGACGTCATCAAGTCGCGTAGTAAATAAACCGAATGGACGTACAAGCTAAAAATGACTGACACAACAACTTGGAGTATTTCTGACCAAAACCTTGGACTATATCGCTTTTGTTTTCGACAGAACCGTTTCTAAACCGATTTCTTTGTCTCTAGTAATACTATATTAGTGTATATTCACTACTACTGGCTGTTGTGGTTAGTTTAAGTATGAATGACTAGTTTAGCATGAAGCTAGCTGCCTGCTTGATGTTTCATTTGTTTATTAAATACGCCAGTGCAGGGAATACTTCATACATTACCACGAAGCGAATATATACCGCTAATTACGGTTCTGAACTTGAACTGACTCTCCGCGAGCGTTAGCCTACTTTCCAATATAACGCACAGTAATGTTGAACAGCTGGAGCTATTCTATTTAGTAAGGTAGCTCTTAAGGTAACAGACTTCTTTGTGTTGTGATATTTATGGTGCAAAGACTCGTACAACATCAAATTATCAGCCACATTTCTCGTACGTAGTGTCAAAGCTGGTCGTTAGCTAGGAACAGCTAACCCTTAATGAATGAATGTCTTGAGGCGACTGGAAGCTAACTAGGCTAGCTCACGCGCGGTTTTTAAAGCTGCACGAGGAAAAAGAAGGATAATTAAAATGTCGGATTTAAACCGAGACGTTGTGGAGCTGGTGTGGGGGAAACAGGCGAGCAGCAGCGGAGTGTCTGCGTCTCTGTTCCGCAGGTGGACCCAAGGTAATCGGATTCGCATTGCTTTCACTGTGTAGCAAGTGTTTTGTCATCCTGTCCACATTGCACGAGGGGGGGGGGGGGAAGGAAGGAAGGAATCACGTGCCGCACTGGACAAATACACCCACCGGTCAGTTTATTAGGAACACCTGTAAACTTGCTCATTCATGCGTTTATCTAGTCAGTCAATCATATGGCAGGAGTGCATTGCATAAGATCATGCAGATGCAGGACAAGTAATGTCAAACATCAGAACAGAGGGAAATGTGAACTTGGTGACTGTGGCTTGGTTTTGGTGCTGGTTCTGATGATTTCCTGAGATTTTCCCGCACAACAGTCTACAGAGTTACAGTAACTCAAATTATGTTGTTCTTTGGTCTGATCCCGTTAGGGGTCTCCACGGCGGATCATTGGTAGGCTTTTTTTTTTTTTTTTTTTTTTTTTTTTTGCACACAGATGCCCTTCCTGAAACAACCCTCACAGATTTTTCCCCGGCTTGGGACCTGCGCTGAGAGTACACTTCCGGTGATTGGTTCGGTTCCCTAGCAGGGAATCGAGCCCGGGCCACTGCAGCTAGAGCGAAGGATCCTTAACCGCTAGACCACCAGACCAGTTACAGTAACTCAAATAACCACTCTTTACAACTGTGTTGTGCAGAAAAGAATCTCAGAAAGCACAACAGTTGAACCTTGAGGCAGATTGGCTCTAAGAGCAGAAGACTGCATCAGGTTCCGCTCCTGTCAGTGAATACCAGGAACAGGAGTGTACAATGTGCACAACCTCGACAAAATGGAATAGTTGAAGTTTGGAAAACCGTCACCTGACGTATGTTGATTTCTGCTGCAACGTGCAGGTTCAGAATTTGGCATCAACAGCTTGAATTCATGGACCTGACCTTCGTTGAGTCAACAGTTCAGGCTGGTGGTGGTGGTGGTGTAATGTTGTGGGGAATTTTTTTTTTTTTGGAACACACTGGGCCCCTAAATACCAATCAAACATCGTCTGAATGCCTCAGCTTGAGTATTGCTGCTCACTACGTGCATCCCTTGATGGCCGCAACTGACCCATCTTCTAATGGGTACTTCCAGCATGACAATGCACCATGTCATAAATCACAAGTCTCAAACTGGATCCACGAACATGACAATGAGTCCAGTGAAATTCAGTGGCCTCCCCAGTCAGCAGATCTGAATCTAATAGAGCACTTTTGGGATGTGTTAGAACGGGAGATTCTCAGCATGAATGTGCAGTTGACAAATCTGCAGCAATTCTGTGATGTAATCATGTTAACATGGACCAGGATCTCAGAGGAATGTTTCCAGCACCTTGTGGAATCCACGCCATGAAGAATTGAGGCTGAGAGCAAAGGGGTTCCTACCCAATATTAGTGTTGTGTTCCTGATAAAGCAACCAGTGCTGTAAAGTGTAACACTAGTGTGATGATTATAACACACCTCCATCGCGTGAACAGTTTCTTTCTCCATGCCACACTATTCATAAATTCACGTAAACTGTACAGCGATGGTTCATTATAAATGTTGCATGCAACACTGGGTAAGATTCTGTGATAATCTGGTCACTTGATTAATATACAGTGTATATTAGTGACTTGATGATTATGCCTAAGTATTGGATTGAATTGTGAGATTTCTGTGTGGGGGGTAAATGGATTTGTAATTAATTCTTTCCGTCTTTTCTGCAGGTTTTGTGTTCAGCGAGACAGAGCACAGTGCACTGGAGCAGTTTGAAGGTGGACCCTGCGCTGTGATCGCGCCTGTGCAGGTTAAAAGTATAGTTTAAACATATTGAATAGTGTAATGGAAATATTTTCTCATTCTGTAAAAGGAGTAAGTGTTTGTATAGAGTTGGAAAATAAGATAACACGTGGGCATGCATTGTGGTGTGTTACAAAATGAATTTGGTCATCTTTAGAGTATGGACGTACATCCAGATCTTGGTGTAAGTGGTGTGCAAAAGGTTCACTTTGTATGTTAATCCTTTGGAAAAATTAGGTGACTTTGGGACCATGAGGAAAATTATTACCTAAATAAAATAATTAATGTGTGGAGGTCTTTGAAAACCCGGTGGACATGGCTATGGTGAAAAACTGGGTTTTGGAGGGATACATGCAAAAGAGAAACATATACCAGTTCATGAAAGCCTGCACATTCGTGCACTTAGCCAATCAGCCAATCATGTGACAGCACAATGCATAAAATCCTAAAGATATACAGGTCTAGAGCTTCAGTTAGTGATCACGTCAAACATCTGGACTTTTTCCAATCTTCAACTGTCCAGTTTCACTGTAGCCTCAGCTTCCTGTTCTTGGCTAACAGGAGTGGAACTCAATGTAGTCTTCTGCTGTTCAACCTTCCTCAGGGATCAGTCTGTTTTCTGAATTGCTTTTCAGCTCACCACGTTTGTAAAAGTGGTTATTTGAGTTAATGTAGAATTCCTTTCAGCGTAAACTAGTCTGGCCATTCTCCCCTGACCTCTCTCATCAGCAAGGCGTTTCCGCCTGCAGAACTGCTGTTCACTGGATGGTTTTTTTTTTTGTGTCTAGAGACTGTTATGTGAAAATCCGAGGAGGTCAGCCATTTTTGAATCAAACCAGCCATCTGGCACAAACAACCATGCCATGGTCAAAGCCACTGAGATCACATTTTTTTCCCCATTCTGATGTTTGATGTGAAGATCAGCCGAAGCTCTTGATCTGTATCTGCATGACTTCATGCATTGCGCTGCTGCCACATGATTGACTGATTGGATAATTGCATGAATAAGCAGCTGTACAGGTGTTCCTAATAAAGTGCTCAACTGTATATAATAGAAAATTTCCAGATACCAGTATGTGAAGGGTTTTCCCTGGCCACCACACTAAAAACAAGTTTTATTGGTAGGGAGTACAAGGCTCATGAAAATTATTGTCGTTTATTGTTGTGAAAGATTATCCATGTAGACACCAGGGCCCATAACCCTTATCACGAAGCCTCATAAGGTTAACAATAATCACCTAAATTCCTGTTAATTTTAAAATTTAAAACGCTTAATGCTTCTGTCTAAGAGTGATTCATAAAGCATTTTAACACAAAATGTAAATCTGAGCCTGCTAAAACTAGCAGCCTCTGTCTTTGATATATTTAATGACAACAAGCTTTAAAAAGGTAACGTCGATTGCTGGACTATGTCAGTCGAGTCACCTCACATGTTATGTAACGCAGTACTGCTGGAGATCAAAGTTTAGACGTACTCTACTACCTGGTCACGTGAAACCTGCACTTGCACAGCAAAGGCAAACTGCAAATATCGTCAGTGAGTAATGTTTTACATCAAACAATAAATGCCTTCTCCTCTCCAGCTGGTATCGGGCTAGCGCAGTCTCATAGTATCTCCTAGTTCGAGTGCCACTTCGGAGAGCACAGCCCCAGTTCTTTTAGGCTAAAAGGAGAACGGTTGCTAAACATTACAATATTGTATTTCAGTATGCCTGAAGTTTCTACAGCCCCAGTTTCTAAAATAAGAATAATTCATTCTAAATAAGAACATTTCATCCACAGTTATACAACCTGAATTGATACCCCCATGAACTGATACCACCATTGCCCTGTCAGAGCCCTCAAGTGTTCAGGAAAGCATTGCTATGCTGTAGTCAGCAGCATTCCTGTCTAATGAACTCCACGCGACATTGCAACCTGTTCTTGATCGCAACAGTTTATGCCAGTGGGTGTAAAAGGCCACAACAGAGAGCCAGTCATATGTTCCTCACTGATGTTTGCTTGCTCACTGTTCGAGTTTGTTGACACATTTGGATTTTTGCAGAGCAATTATGTCAACTTTCATCATAGCCATTATTAAATGTAGATTTACTTTTCCTTTTAGGCATTCCTGCTGAAGAACATCCTATTCAACATGGAGAGCTCAAACTGGAGAAATATTTCCGGTATGTGCAGTGGAATGAATTACATGAAATGAATAACAGTTTCCTGAATCATTTTCAGATGTCCATCTTTTCTGCAGTTATGTAATAAGCAGGTTTAGAAACCTGGCAGGATGCTCTAAAAACTACACAAAACATGCTAGTGTCTTTATTAATCTACTTAGGGTTTTGAAATATCTTGACACATTATGGAATATATTTAATATTAGAACTCCATTGTCTTTGCCTGCTATTGCGTGCTATGAGGTTTGATCAAGCAGATATGCCAAAAATATCATCTAGTGATATTTGAAGACATGTATATGACACCAGGGAAACAGTAGCATTAAAAAAGGAAAGGGAAAAAAACCTAATTTTTTGAAGAATCAAATCCGCTACTTCCAAACATATCATGATATCTTAGAACATATGGATTGTGACATATTTTGTCATGATATCGCTATTATAATGTTATTTTGCTAAATCCTAATCTAGATCTGGATTTCTTTAAAGCTGCTTTGGGACCATGTCTATTGTTATAAGCTAGACAAATAAAATTGAATTCTAACATCATAATGTAATTGTGCTGCTCAGCCTTATGTAGAGTTGAACTCTTTAAGCTTGAAATTGGTATGTTGATCATAATGATTTCTATGTTTAGAGGAGGAGCAGCGCTTGGCCCTGTGCTCTACTCTCACTGAGATTCTGGTGTCAGCCTGCATTGGCAAGACCCACAACTTCTGCCTGGCCACGTGGGCTCCCTCCAAATCCACAGACGAGAACAGGGCCATCACTGAAGACCACACAGAACCAGAATCCAGTCAGAACACACACATGCAGCAGCAGCAGCAGCAGCCCAGTGAGAGTTTGAGTCTTTTGATTTTTAATACTTTAATACTTCTGATTTTAATATTGGGCTCTGTATTGCAAATTATTTGGTCCTACTTGTTCAAAACGTGTAAAATATAACAAACCTGCCACATTCGTTCATGTGTGTACGATGTCACTATAAAATCATTATTGTAACATTTTGTTCTACATGGCAGAAAAAAGGACAACTTGTCCTTAGAGCTGTAATTTGATTCCACATGGTGACCCACTTCCTTTTGAAACAGGAAGATGTTGAGGGAGCCGAAACCATTTAACACACACTAACAGCTGAGAGTTTAGAGAGCTTGTTCTCGGCTTTGTAGGATTACAGCCTGGTAATTTGTCTATTGTGATTCTGACGTATCTTAGAAACCTCTTGCTGCCCCTCACAGTTGAAATTTTGCTCTTTCTCATATTGTGCATAATTTCGACCCGCCATGTTTTGGAACATAGACACATTAACTAATGAATACTAAATCGAACACCGGAGTCTGCTCTTGGCAGGCAAAGGCGCAATTTATTAAAACTGAATAATTTTTAGAGTAAAGCTAATTCTGTGTTTTTCCACACATGAACAATAAAAATAATATATCATCTTTAAAAAGCGAGTGGAAGAACCCTGGTCTGAAATTCTGAATCCTAATGTGCTTGTGTTCTGTGCATCTAGTTATCTCTCTAGTATAATTCTTTATATTTTGCTGAACGTGTATTGTGTTTTTGCTGTGTTTGTGTATGTAGCTGCTTTGGCTGCTGAGGAGCTTGGCTTTGAGCGATTTCACAGCATGGTACAGTAAGTGCACACTGTTAACTCTATTAAAAACACAC